TTTCTAGTTTCATCTACAATTCCCATGAGATTTGTACTGTCATAATATCCATAGAGTGCATAACCACATGTGATTTTTTTGTACAGACCCTGCCACAATTTGTGAAGCTGACTTTCTTTTTCATCAGCTGCTTTGCCATCTTTCATCCTTCACTTTTGTTGTTGCTGTTTATTGTTGAAACTGAAGAGATGGACATGTCCAAAATATCAACTTTAAGAACAAGGGTTATGCATGAATCCCTCTGTTCTCAGCCTCATATTAATTACTCGGAATGGGCATAGCTGTTAAAGTGCTTCCATTTTTGTTTGATAGTTAAATATTAACAGTACGAGCTTTTAATGGTTCTGGGTTGTGCAAAAAGAGGACAAGTATTTTAGCTGGATACGTATCTTTTTGCTGACATAATGGGATAAATTTTGCGTGGTAATTTTCGGCTTTACATGAATTTGTTGATAAGGATATCAATCCTATTCCTATTTATGTAGTTCACTTGAAGCATTTAATACTTGTATTTCCCAATTACAAAATTGCTCATCAGCAATTTTTGACAACAGTGAGAGTTCTAGAGAAGCGAGTCTTTTGAAAATGATAGTAGAAAGAATGTGTCCCTTCTCTAGATTGTCTTTCTAGCAAAGTAAATCAATCTAGACTTAAATTATATTGACAGGAATACACAATATATACTCAAGGATGAAATTAGTTCTAGCTTTTATTATATACTCAAGGATGCCCTGACTTCCTCCATCTTTATCTATTTTTGAGAAATTCTCTTTCTTGACTGCCAAATGCTAAGAGGAAATGGTACCGAGCAGTTACATGCAAACCTTGGTCTGAAGAAGTAAAATGGCTAGAGTTTCTAATTTTCATAAAGCTAATAGGAAATAATTTGATCACTTGTGAAAATAAGCCAAAAGAATGATGCTCATTCGAACAAAGTTTTCTTAGAGTTACTACATATTTCATTGTGTATACATGATCCTTCAATGCTACTTCATATTTATTATTTACCCGAAAGTTGATGTTAATTTGAGCTCTTTTTTTCTTAACAATGTTATTGCTGACTTGTCCGTTTACTGCCTCAGCTTGTGTACCTAAAAATGTAGTTTCCAAAATTACCATTCTACTAAGTAACTGGAATAAGTTGTTTCTATTTTTTAACTATTGCATGTTAAACATTTGCAATATTGCGGTGGACAATGTTCTTTTTTTTCTTCTTGCAATAATATCCTCACTGATGTTTTTTTTTTAACTATCCTCACCGATGCTTTGGAGTCAGTTAAGCTGCTTTATTTCCTTTAGAGTCTAGTTTTACATTTGTTTTCTCACATTTGATTCAGGACAATACAGTTGAATGCTTTAGAAGAGCCTGCAGAATTTTTAGTGTCGATACAGAACCCGTAAGTTTCAATACTGTTGTTAATTAATTGCAAGGGTATCTCTTTCAGGAGATTAATGGCATTTTGGTTCTCTGCAGTTACGGATTTGGGATTTATCTGGGCAGACGGCATTGTTTTTTTCAGATGAAAACAATAAGATCCTCAAAGACTCTCAGAAACAGTCAGAGCAAGATGTATGTACTTTCAACTCTGTCATACTTCATGACTGACCAATAAACAAGTCGACCAATGCTTCTGCGGCATTCACTATTTTTCCTGTCTTTACTAAGGAAATAATATAGTTATGCTATTTTCTGATTGTTTTCTAATTAAGTTTTTTAGCAGATTCTTCCATTTCCTTATCTAGTGTTTGTGTCGTAAAAAGATATATAATGATTGAGGTGATGAATATGCTTACTTAACACTTCATCTAGGAATAAAGTGACACGATGACTTCACTCCATTTTCTATTTAAGTGTTGTTTTTCCTTGAGCATGGACAATGCTAAGCCCACCAAAGTTCAGTTTTCTGCGACTCTCTTTCATTTTAGGGGTCGTTTTGGAGTTATTCATTTGTAAGCAGTAGATGTGCTCTTTCCTTGTACTTTCAATGACGTGCACTCTAAGAAACTTTAGCTCTTTTATTACCCTGGGACAAAAAAAACACATAATGAACGGGACTGTCATGTCTAACGACCAGCATATACACCCATTCGTCTTGGAGAACCGGCGGGTAAATTCATCTTAGTTATGCTGTTTTTCAGCTGGATCTAAGATTACAAAGAAAGCAACTGTTTTGTTTTTTGTTTTTTCCCATTTGTGGCAGTTATTAGCGGTGTAGTTCATCATTGATTGGTTTTGTATTTTCTTAGGCTGTTTTATCTATGAAACGAATTGAAAGAGATGCCAAAGTTTTATCTGTTTTATGTTTCTTTTTTCCTTGTGGGTTACCATTTAACTGAGCGCATGGTAAACCTTTACTGTTGAAGGCATTTTGCTGGTTATGGGGCTGCCTTATAGTCTTATTACTGATTCTTGAATTAACTCTTAAGTGTTTAATGGTTCGCATCGCTTGTAAGCAAGAAATGATTTGGACCAACTTCTTATTTTGTCCTCTTATTTTTTTGCTTGCAGATGCTCTTGGAGTTGCAGGTCTATGGGTTATCAGATTCTGTTAAAAATAAAGCGAAAAAAGATGAGATGTCAATGCAATACCCTAATGGTTCTTCTTTTCTGATGAATGGTACTGGCAGTGGTATAACCTCTAATCTCACTAGGAGCAGTTCTTCATCATTTTCTGGAGGTCCATGTGAAGCTGGTACCTTGGGCTTGACTGGATTGCAAAACCTAGGGAACACCTGTTTCATGAACAGTGCTCTTCAGTGCCTTGCACATACGCCAAAGCTTGTTGATTACTTTCTCGGGGACTACAAGAGAGAAATAAATCATGATAACCCATTGGGAATGAATGTAAGCAATCTTGAATTTTTCAAGATCATTACGTGCTGCTTTAGATGTTTTCTCCAGTTCTGTCTGAATAAGTCAATGTTGACATCCCTTAACCTATTCTACATTATATGTGGTTGAAAAAGTAAAAGAAAAAGAGAAATTAATTTGATTACTCTCAGGTGAGGAGTTCTTTATTTGCCTCCAATTGTTTTGTTAGCCTGGACAAAAGAAAAAGATATGCTTATCCGGTCCATTCAATTTAGTAGGGGTTGAGAAAATTGACTCGGAGGGTATTCAATATCTCCACTTTTTGTTTCGTACCAAGCAAGGGGAATAAGCTTTACCTCTTTTACTTTTCCTCCTCCTTCCACCTCATCTCATCCCAATCAAACATTGTGTTCTAATCTGTCTCCTTACATATTTTATTGTCTAAGTTCCTCTCTTTAAATTCTTTCAGGGTGAAATTGCATCTGCTTTTGGTGACCTTTTGAAGAAATTATGGGCTCCTGGAGCGACTCCTGTGGCACCTAGAACATTCAAATTAAAGCTTGCTCATTTTGCTCCTCAATTCAGCGGCTTTAATCAACATGATTCTCAGGTCCGTTCAGTCCTTCCTGTTGGATTTAGTTTCCCAGTTTTAGGTCACTTATTAACACTCTCTTTTCTGTCCTCTCATTTTGTGGGCATCTTTTGACATCTAATTCTCCTATTTATATCTGCAGGAGCTCCTAGCTTTTCTATTGGATGGACTCCACGAAGATTTGAACCGTGTCAAGAATAAACCTTATGTTGAAGCTAAGGATGGAGATGATCGTCCAGATGAAGAAATTGCTGATGAATACTGGAATAATCATCTGGCTCGTAATGACTCCATCATAGTGGACGTTTGCCAGGTAAATAACATCCGATGGTCTCTTGTATCTCACTAGAAGTAGGAAACATTTGATTGCACCGGCTCCCAATGGTCTCTCGTCTCTCACAGGCAAATGTGAATTATTAATCTCATTTCAACATTGGCTTGAAAAAGCAAGAAGAATGAAGTGGCATATTTTTGTTAAATATCTGAACTCTACTGTATTTGTGCTGTGAGAGTTGTTTAGGGTGAGAGAGTAACAATACCCCAACTGTTTGGGGAAGTTTAACCAGTGTTCCTAAAGCTTGCTTCAAATTCCTCAGATATTTTTGTCAAGATTCTCTGCTTTTTTTCAGCAATAAGATTTCTTATCTTATTCAAAACAAAATAATAACTGACATAATTTGCTGTTGAGATTCAAAGAAAATGTACTTCTAATGCAATTTTCTTTGGTGAACTCTTATTCTTCCAATTCAACTCTTACCATAAGTAATGGAAATTGAATTAGTCGTCCTTTTCAAATCAATCAGATGAACAACTTGGTTCAATAATTTGGTATAGTGGGAGTACTATTTCTTAACAACTGACATTATTTTCCTAGAATGCAGTCCTGAACGAAGAGCTGAATTTTGGATTCAGGTTTATTTTAAAACAAATTAGTTTTATTTGTAGTGCTCCCTGTTTTCTCTATATGGTCTCCGCATTTTATCTTTAATGTCTTTTTGAGTTTTACTGTAATTTCCTAAAAGAAGAAGAATATTCCAGCCTTTAACCTCCATAAGAAAGTTAAATTTTTGTTCTTCCATAGTTTACAAGTTTAATCATATAAAAATTTGAACCTACCTCATCAAAAAAGAAAAGAATTTCTATGAAAACCTTGAACCTTGTGAATGTTTCTGACATTTGTGCAGTCTATAGGCTGTGTTTGGAAGTAATTGGTCTTTTTATGTGTTATGTAGTCTATGGCGGTATGTAAATTCTGAATTCCTCTTTGACCAATCATCTGTGAGATAAAGCTCTGTAATTCTAAGATAATTTTTGAATACAACCAATTGATGATTGCTTGTCATCTTTTTTAGTTTTTTTATTCTGTAATTTTTTGCATAAATTTGACTCTTAGCCATGTCTATCATTAGATGTCGCAAACTTTGAAATTTCACTTTAGAAACCATGTACATAGCACATGTTTCCTAGCAGGTCGTGATTTGTCTATGACTTTTAGGAGGATTTAAAAGTCTACTTCATCTGAATCCCTTTTTCTGCACATTTATACAAGTTTCTTTTCTAGTCTTGCTTCTCAGAGCTTATCTCGATTGTTGCAGGGTCAATACCGTTCCACATTGGTCTGTCCTGTTTGCAAAAAGGTCTCCATCATGTTTGATCCTTTCATGTATTTGTCACTGCCTCTTCCATCTACATCTATGAGGTCAATGACCGTCACAGTTATAAAAAATGGCAGTGATATTCAGATATCTGCCTTTACAATCACTGTTCCCAAGGATGGAAAACTTGAAGATCTTATTCGTGCTTTAAGCACTGCATGCTCTTTGGACGCTGATGAGACCCTTTTGGTGGCTGAGGTAAAGTGCACAATTTCCAGTGATGAGAAATGGTTATGGATTTCAAGTTGTTGCTTTATTTTTTCCTAAATAGAACTTATTACATACTGTGTATTGGATAGTCAAGTAGAGTCCTTTTTCCTATTTCCAAAATTTTATTTCCAGCTCTTACTCCATTTAATGTTACAGATATACAACAACCGCATTATACGTTATCTTGAGGAACCAGCCGATTCATTATCCTTAATAAGAGATGGTGACCGACTTGTTGCTTATCGGTTGCACAAGGGTACTGAAGAAGCCCCCTTGGTTGTGTTTACGCATCAACAGATTGATGAGTATGTCTTGACTTTATAATTTGGGCATTATCTTTTTTTGCTTTAAAGTTCATCAAACATTACTAGCTGTTAGCGGAAACGTAAAAGAAAGAACACAAGATTTAACGTGGTTCGGATCAAAATAATCCTACGTCCACCAGAGAACAATTGCCCTTTTAATATTAACAAAGGAAGGGGAGATTTCCCAATTACACTTTAGAGAATTTCTCTCTTAACTCTCTACTCACTACAATGTATTGTATTATTTTGGGATGATTTCTACAAGTGAAGGAG